CAAAGGTTGCAGTGAGCCAAGATTGTGCCTTGGAAAGACCTCAGCAAAAGTCTTGATGGGCTTTTGTTACATCCCAGCCTTTGTATAAGGGCACTGGCTTTTAATATTTAACCACAGTCATTACTGAAACAGTTGTTATGGAGGTCTGCATTAGTGAGACCTCGCCTGCTATAGGAGGTTGCAGTGAGCTGAGATCGTGCCACAGTACTCTAGCCTGGGTGACAGAGTAAGACTCTGTCTCAAAAAAAAAAAAATGAGGCCGGGCGCGGTGGCTCAAGTCTGTAATCCCAGCACTTTGGGAGGCCGAAGCGGGTGGATCACGAGGTCGAGAGATCGAGACCATCCTGGTTAACATGGTGAAACCCCATCTCTACTAAAAGTACAAAAAATTAGCTGGGCATGGTGGTGCGTGCCTGTAATCCCAGCTACTCAGGAGGTTGAGGCAGGAGAATTGCCTGAACCCGGGAGGCGGAGGTTGCGGTGAGCCGAGATCGCGCCATTGCACTCCAGCCTGGGTAACAAGAGCGAAACTCTGTCTCAAAAAAAAAAAAAAAAAGAAAAGAAAAATGATACCGAAAGATTTGCTTGACACAGGGTGGCCACAAACTTTCAATTTATAAAAAACATAGTATCTGTGAAGTACAATAAAGTGTAGTGCAATAAAATAAGGTATGCTTGCATAGCAAAACATCATGTTGTACCTAGTAAATATATACAACTTTTATTTGTGAATTATACCTCAATTAAGCTGGACAAATGAACTGTATTTACAACATGGTAGGAATATGATATTGGACACTAATGCAAATGAAATTGTCAGTGCCTTGGTGAAAATGTTACACTACTTAACAAACAAAAAAATGTAGTGTAAAATGAAGAAAAATGTGAAAATCCCTACAAATGCTTGTCCAAAAGAGCAGTCTTTGAGTTCCTCAAGAAGGTTCTCTCTTTGGATGCTGGACATGGGAGTTCACGCCTGTATCCCAGCACTTTGGGAGGCTGAGGCAGACAGATCACTTGAGGCCAGGAGTTCAAGACCAGCCTGTCCAACATGGTGAAACCTTGTCTCTACTAAAAATATAAAAATTAGCTGGGTGTGGTGGCATGTACCTGTAATCCCAGCTACTCAGGAGGCTGAGGCACAAGAATTGTTTGAACCTGGGAGGCAGAGGTTGCAGTGAGAGGAGATTGTGCCGCTGCAGTCCAGCCTGGGCCACAAAAAAAAAAAAAAAAAAAAATCCACCTTAAAAAAAAAAAAAAAAAAAGGAAGATTTTTCTCTTTGGGCACACCTTTTCAATATATTCAACGTAAATGGATTAATACCACTTTTACTAGGTGAGTGTGTTTGGGCAAGTTGCTTCAGTGCTCATTCTCTTGTTTTCCTTTTTTTTTGAGGCAGGGTCTTTGTCATCTAAGCAGGAGAGCAGTGGACTGATCATAGCTCACTGTGGTCTTCAACACCTGGCCTCAAGAGATTCTGTTTGTCTCCCAAATAGCTGGGATTACTGGCATGCATCACCGTGCCTGGCTAATTTAAATTTTTTTTTTTTTTTTGTAAGGACGGGTGTTGCTATGTTGCCCAGCTGGTCTTGAACTACTGGGCTCAAGCAATCCTCCCACCTCGGCCTTCCAAAGTGTTGAGATTATAGGCATGAGCCCCGGTGGCTAGCTGTCTTTTGGTACCTAATCTGTAAAACTGAGAATAACAGTACCTCTACAAAGTTGTGGGAGAATGAAGTTAGTTAATACAAGTGAAGTGCTGAAAAAAAAAAAAAGAGCTTTGGAAAACAGCAAGTACTTGTTAGCTATGGCTATTGTTAGCAATACATTTTTCAAGGCAAACTCGTAGTTACACCTATCACCTGAGGTTTATGACTTGTAAGTCCATCAGGCTCTTCTCTCTCCTTTTAAAACATAATTAATTAAATATTATAATTTTTTGAGACAGAGTCTGCTCTGTTGCCCACACTGGAGTGCACTGGCATGATCTCAGCTCACTGCAACCTCTACCTCCTAGGTGCAAGCAATTCTGGTGCTTCAGTCACCCAAGAAGCTGGGATTACAGCTGTGCGCCACCACGCCCAGCTAACTTTTGCATTTTTAGTAGAGATGGGGTTTCACCATGTTGGCCAGGCTGATCCTGAACTCCTGGCCTCAAGTAATCTGCCCAACTGGGCCTCCTAAAGTGCTAGGATTACAGGCATGAGCCACTGCACCTGGCCCTCTTTTTGTTTTAGAGACAAGAATCTCATTCTTTTCTACAGGTGGGAATGCAAAGGCATGAACATAACTCATTGCAGTGTGCAACTCCTGGGCTAAAGGGATTTTTTCCTCTGCCTTTGGAGTAGCTGGGCCTCAGAACGGTGCTACGACTTCTCGCTTCCATCAGGATCTTTGTCCTACCATTTCATCTTCTTACTAGGCTATCTCCACATGGATATAAAAATGGCACATCAAGTGAAAGAAATCAACTACCTAAAATAGGATTTGCCACTCCAAACTTGTTTTTCTTTACATGTCATTTCTGTTAATGTGGGTCACATACACGGGTAAGCTCAGAATTATCTTTTTATTTTCTTTTATTCACATCCAATATGGTTGAAATAAAACAAAACAAAATGCTTTTTTCTTTTTTAGAAAGGTAATATTTGTTCATTATATAAAATTTAGAAAATATAGAAAGAAATGATAGAATATTATCCACAACCAAAACTGCCCAAATTTCCAGTTAAAAATGTCAATGTATTTTATATTTGCCCATGTAATTAAGGCCGTACTGTTTACACAAATGCTTTTAAAATCTAAAAGGTTCTCACTATTAAAAATGTTTTGTTAAGTCTTTGTCTCAAAAAAAAAAAAAAAAAAAAAAAAAAAAAAAAAAAAAAAAAGTCTTGCTCTATTACCAGGCTGCAGTGCAGTGGGGTGATCTCAGCTCACTGCAATCACTGCCACCCGAGTCCAAGCGATTCCCCTACTTCAGCTTCCAGAGTAGCTGGGACCACAGGCGCGCGCCACTACGTCCCCCCTAATTTTTGTTTATTTAGTAGAGACGGGATTTTACCATGCTGGCCAGGATGGTCTCGATCTTGACCTTGGGATCCGCCCTCCTCGGCCTCCCAAAGTGCTGGGATTACAGGCGTGAGCCACCGTGCCAGGCCAAGTCTTGTTTTAAAAGTAAGATTTTAACATCCAAATTCCCAAAACAAGACATTTTTGAAGATTTGTTAACTACTGATGGCTCAACATCTTTACATTATTACCGTTAAATTTTGGTATCTCCTGTTACTCTGCTAGTGAAATATATATAGATTTGGTGGGCTATTCCTTTTCTTTTTTTTAATTTTAATTTTTTTTTTGATACAAGGGTCAAACTCTGGTGCCCAGGATGGAGTGCAGCGTCGCTATCATAGTTAATTGTAAACTGGAACTCTTGGCCTCGAGCCTCCCAAAGTGTTGGGGCTACAGGCTTGAGCCGCTGTGCCGGGCAAATGGCTATATACACAGTTGACTCTTGAATAGCATGGTTTGAACTGCCTAGGTCCACTTATAAGCCGACTTAAAATACAGTATTCGAGGGGCCCACATTTAGAGAGGACCGACTTTTCCTCTTAAGAATTCTGCAGGACCGAGTGCGGGATTTGAGAATGCGCGGATTTTCGTTTTGTTTTTAGATGAAGTCTGACTCTCGCCCAGGCTGGAGTGCAGTGGCGCGATCTCAGCTCAGTGCAACCTCCGCCTCCTAGGTTCAGGCGATTCTCCTGCCTCAGCCTCCCGTGTAGCTGGGATTACAGGCGCCCGCCACTACACCCAGGTAATTTTTTGTATTTTTTATCTTTTGAGACGGAGTTTCGTTCTTATTGCCCAGGCCGGAGTGCAATGGCGTGATCTCGGCTCACTGCAACCTCTGCCTTTCGGGTTCAAGCGACCCTCCTGCCTCAGCCTCCCGAGTAACGGGATTGCAAGCGCCCGCCACCACACCCGGCTATTTTTTTTTATTTTTTATTTTTAGTAGAGAGGGTGCTTCGCCATATTGGCTAGGCTGGTCGCGAACTCCTGACCTCAGGTGATCCGCTCGCCTAGGCCTTCCAAAGTGCTGGGCTTACAGCCTTGAGCCACAGCGCCCGGAGGAATGCCTGGATTTTGGTATAAGCAGGTGGTTCCAGAACCAATCCTCCGCCAACGGATGAGTTTAAAAAACTGTAATTGTTCAAAACTTAGTATTTGTGGCCTACTTTTTCATATATGCACTTTTGAATTTATCATTTCTTTTTTTTTTTTTTTTTTTGAGACGGAGTTTCGCTCTTGTTGCCCAGGCTGGAGTGCAATGGCGCGATCTCGGCTCACCGCAACCTCCGCCTCCTGGGTTCAGGCAATTCTCCTGCCTCAGCCTCCTGAGTAGCTGGGATTACAGGCACGCGCCACCATGCCCAGCTAATTTTCTGTATTTTTAGTAGAGACAGGGTTTCACCATGTTGACCAGGATGGTCTCGATTTCTTGACCTCGTGATCCACCCGCCTCGGCTTCCCAAAGTGCTGGGATTACAGGCTTGAGCCACCGCGCCGGGCCTTATCATTTCTTTTAAAAGATATTTAAAAATGCATGCTTCGTATTCACACACATGTCCAACGCAACGTATTTAAGCAGTCGCCTCCAGAAACGTTGTTCCACTTTACAAGCTCACAAAATTGGCCTGAGTGCTTTTTTCTTCCAAAGCATAGAGCATTTATAATTTAGAACAAGCAGCCAAAAGGCTTAACAGCTCAGCACGCAAACTTATCTGTTGGAAACCTACTACGCTTCACGAGGTGGACGCTGGCGGCCCGGCTTGCCAAGACCCGGCTCCGAGACCAGGAAGTTTCCAGGAGCCCCGCTGTATGCGGCGCGAGCGCCGACGTTGCCAACGTGGCGCACAGTGTGACGCAGTACGCAAGTGCGTCAGAATGGTCCTCGGTCGGCGACGGCGCTGCGTCACTGGCTTGAAGGCACTTTGCTCTTGGAAGTGGCGACCGCTGCAGAGCTGAGTGGTAGTCTCCCGCGCCTCGGGAGCCAGGTTGGCGGCGCGATGAGGCGCAGCAAGGCCGACGTGGAGCGGTACATCGCCTCGGTCCAGGGCTCTGCCCCGTCGCCTCGAGAGGTGAGTGGGTCTGGAAGAGATCTACTGTCTCCACCTGGCCCGGCTGCGGCCTCGAGCGGCTCGGCCGTCATGGCTCCCGACGGGCGCTGCTCCCTGGCGCGCTGTCTTGAGGCGCTGGCCGGTTAGCGCGGCCCCGTGGGCGGCGTGGCGCTGGCGAGTGCGGAGGAGTCCTGGCGGGGCCGCTGCGGGCCGGCGCTTCCTCTTTTGCTCGGCCTGTTCAGGACGATCCTCGCTCGTGGGCCCACCCTGGCCCGGGCTTTCTGACCGGTCGCGCGCCGCGTAGGACTCGTGCGGCCTAGTTCTCTGGGGCCTGGGCGCCAAAGTCTCGGGTGCTGTGTCCGGTGGGGTTCTTTCCATCTCCTGGGCGTTTACTTTACATGCTGCGGCAGAGGTCGTACCTCCTTGGCCTGGTGGAACCCAGTGAGGACTGACGCAGCTCCGGGCTGAGCTTTGTCGATTGTGACGGGTGACAGCGTAGGCATCTCAGCGCGGACATTTGCCACAGCTCGACGGCGCAGATGATACGGGAAGTCCCCTTGCTTTAAGGCTGAGGTGTTTGTCGCTGTCCCTTTATAAGGGTCCAGCTCCACTCCTCATACTTACCCCTGCCCCTAGAACACTTCGGTAGCTGCTTTTGTTTTTTATTTAAAAAAAAAAAAAAAAATATATATATATATATATATATATATATAAATTTCTTGCAAATCGTTGGTATGCCTTAGAATTTTTAACCTTTTCCACAAATGTTCTCAGGTATTTTTCCTTTTTAAAGGTAAGTAATGTGCTATCTTTTGGATTCAGTAAGACTTTAGTATTTGGATGTGAAGAGTGACGGAAGAAGCTATTAAAGGTGGATGTGCACAGAATCTTGAGTCAGTTTGCTTTGGCTTGATGAATAACCACAGCGCTGTCGTTTATAAGTTGGGTATTTGGGACAGGTTACACTTTTCATCCATAGATGGAGTTGCAACATTGATAGAATTTGATCGGATGATCCGTTGTAAACATTTAGGGCTGTGCTGGACACATAGCACTAAAATGTTAGCTGCAAGTCACCGTTTTTATTGTTGATGTTGAAAGGATATTGGCAGGGCGTGGTGGCTCACACCTGTAATCCCACCACTTTGGGAGGCCGAGGCAGGCAGATCACCTAAGGTCAGGAGTTCGAGACCAGACTGGCTGATGTGGTGAAACCCCGTCTGCACTAAAAATACATAATTAGCCGGGTGTAGCGGTGCACGCTTGTAATCCCAGTTAGGAGGCTGAGGCAGCAGAATCTCTTGAACCCGGGAGGTGGGGGTTGCAGTAGCTGAGATCTCGCCTTTGCACTCTGGCCTGGGCGCAAGAAGGAAACTCCATCTCAAAAAGTAAATAAATGAAAGGGTACTTATTCCAAGTCTCTTCTGTGCAAGGGCCTATGAGAATAAGGAACTGTAAGGAAGTTTTTTTAAAAAAAGGATGGCTGACGGGCGGGTCCGGTGGCTCAGGCCTGTAATCCCAGTACTTTGGGAGGCCTACGGGCAGATTGCCTGAGGTCATGAGTTTGGGACCAGCCTGGCTAACGTGGTGAAACCCTGTCTCTACTAAAAATGAAATTAGTCAGGCGTAGCGGCGCACGCCTGTAGTCCCAGCTACTGGGGAGGCTGAGGCAAGAGAATCCAGACGGAGATCGCAGTAAGCCGATATCGCGCCACTGCACTCCAGCCTGGGAGACAGAGGGAGACTCCGTTAAACAAACAAACGGAAAGTCCTGGGTAACTAGGATTATAATAGTAGCACAGTTGTGTTTTTTATCATAACTAAGCATAGATTATCTTATTTTGCACTTCCAGCAACCCTGTGGATATTGAGACCTGTGGAGATTAAAGATACTTGAACCCTGTCGATATTGAGAACTGTGGAGATTAAAGATACTTGTTCAGGGTCAAATAGGTAGTGCAGCAGAATTTTGGCAATGGGTCTTGGGAACACTGAAGTAAGTTACAGTCTATTCCTCCATTGAAAAGGAATAGATACCTACTTGTACATTGTAATTTCAAACTGCTAGCATAGTCATAAATGTGGACGTGGTGATAAGAGTCTGAAACAGACCTTATTGAGGGTACCTGTAACTCCTGAAATTAAAAACTTTAATTTTTATGGTTTTTTTTTGAGACAAGGTCTCACTCTATCATTTGCTGGATGCAGGATGCAGTGGCGCCATCTCGGCTTACTGCAGTGCCCGCCTCCCGAACTCAAGCCATCCTTCCACCTCAGTCTCCTGAGTAGTTGGTACCACAGGTGCACTCACGATACCCGCTATTTATTTTTTGCATTTTTGGTAGAGACTGGGTTTCACCATGTTGCCCAGGCTGTTCTTGAACTCCTGGGCTCACGTGATTCCCCTGCTTCCACCTCCCAAAGTGATGGGATTACAGGTGTGAGCCACTGCACAGGGCATTAATAATAATAATAATAATGATAATAATTTTGAGGCAAGGTCTCTTTTTGTCTCCGAGCCTGGAGTGCTGTGGTGGGATCATGACTCACTGCAGGATTGACCTCCCGGGCTCAGTCTATCCTCCCGCATTAGCCTCCCGGGTAGTTGAGACTACAGGCATGTCAGCTACAGGCGTGTGCAACCATGCCCAGCTAAATTTTTTCTTTTTTTTTTTTTTTGAGATGGAGTCTTGCTCTGTTGCCCAGGCTGGAGTGCAGTGGCGTGATCTCCACTCACTGCAACCTCCACTTCCTGATTTCAAGCAGTTCTCCAGCCTCTGCTTCCTGAGTAGCTGGGATTACAGGTGCACACCACCATGCCCAACTGATTTTTGTTATTTTTAGTAGAGATGGGGTTTCATCGTGTTGGTCAGGCTGGTCTTGAACTCCTGATCTTGTGATCTGCCTGCCTCGGCCTCGCAAAACGCTGGGATTACAGGTGTGAGCCACTGCGCCTGGCCTAACTTTTTTGTTTAATGTAGAGACAGGGTCTTGCCATGTTGGCCAGGCTTGTCCCCAACTCCTGGGCTCAACTGATCCTTCTTCCTTGGCCCCAAAGTGCTGGGATTTACAGGTGTGAAGCACTGCCCACTCTTGATTTTTTTTTTTTTTTTAATGCAAGCTTAAAAAATAAAAAAGCAAGCTTAGAACCTTTCTGAGATTCTTAGTGAGGACTTTGGCTTCCAAAAGATTAAAAACCACTGGTTTAGACAGAAGTTAGAGTGTTCTTTCAACAACATTAACTTTTCCATTAAAGTGGAGTGGTGATAGAATTTTGAGAATTAGTTATTATGACCCGCTCTCTCTTACACTTAAAGTGTATTTTTTTCCCAAACAAATTGAATTTATTCACATTAGAACCTGGGGGTTTCAGTGGAATATGGATTAGCTGGTAACTTTTCAACATGTGAAGCTATTCCATAAAGTTAGGTTTGAGTGAAATGATGAAACAGGGTGCTTTGGATAGAAGGTAAAGAATGGAGTGGGAAGAGGCGGTGGCTGTGAAGAATATAAAGAGGTTAGTATTCTCCCCCAGTCTGGCAGAGGCTGGCTATCTATGAACTGACTATGCTTTCTAGGATGTCTGAGTTCTGAAGTGTTGATGTGTCTGTATATCATATCTTTCTAGTCTTCCATTGTGCTTTCATTTCATCTCCTCTTTGTTTTGCCATTTTTCTACTTCCTCACATGTGCTTTTGCCCTTGTTAAAAATACTTTCGCCTGTAATCTGAGCACTTTGGGAGGCTGAGGTGGGTAGATCACCTGAGGTCCAGAGTTTGAGACCAGCCTGACCAATGTGGTGAAATCCCATCTCTACTAAAAATACAAAAATTAGCTGGGCGGTAGTGACATGCGCCTGCAGTCCCAGCTACTCGGGAGGCTGAGACAGGAGGATTGCTTGAACCCTGGAGGTGGAAGTTGCAGTGAGTGGAAATGTGCCACAGCACTTCAACTTCAGCCTGTGTGACAGAGTGAGACTTGTCTGGGGAAAAAAAAAACAAAACTTCTTTCTCTAGTTTTTCTTTCTCCAGATGGTTTCTGTTTAGTTTTTCTAGGTTCTGTCAGGTTAGCTTTTCATTCTGCAGCCGATTCCTACTCCCCAGAGGCTGGACAGCTCTTATTTATTTATTTATTTAATTTTTGGGCTTAGTGATCCTCCTACTTCTGCTTCCTGAGTACCTGGGTCTACAGGCAGGCACCTTTGACAGCTGTTAGCAGTTTTTTCTGCCCTTAACATCCATACTCCATACTTCTGAGCAACACACATACATACTTTTGTTATTTTTAATTCCCAGTCTCCCATTTTAGACAGTCTCTACTGGCTTTTTACTGTGCTCTTCCAAAGCTGTCCTTAGACACTTTGATTCGCCCCTCATTCTTTCAGTACTGTTATTGCAGTTTTCGTTAAATTGAATATTTAACATTTATGTAAATATCATAAGGTAAATATTTTTGTATTTGAATTGCCCTTATTGTGCAGTTTTGTTTTTCCTGGACTGAATAATTGCTTTATTTTTTGGTTTGCTTATGTTGTTACTACTTGTTTACTTAAACTCAGCAATTTAAACCCTCAAATGTGGTCAGACTGGTCATAGAATGCCATCAATTTCAGCTTAAAACATTCATCCATTCATTCATTTATGTATGTATATTTTGAGACAGTCTTACTCTGTGGCCCAGGCTGGAGTGCAGCGGCACAGTCTTGGCTCACTGCAGCCTCTGCCTCAGGCGATTTTCTTGCCTCACCCTCCCGAGTAGCTGGAATTACAGGTGCCTGCTACCATACCCGGCTAATTTTTTGTATTTTTAGTAGAAACGGTTTCACTATGTTGGCCAGGCTGGTCTTGGAAAATAATGGTATGCCTGCAAAACATCTTTAGTTTGATTGATAGTTTGATTATCAAATTCTGAGTTTGAAATAATTTTTTTCTCAATTTTGAGAGCATTGTTCCATTTTCTAGAAGTTCTGTTGTTAGAAGTCTGATGACATTCTTTTTCTTGATAACTTAAAGGTTTTCTGG